CGGTGCCCGGCAGCCCGCGGGCCCCCAGCCCCAGCGCTGCCGCCAGCCCGCCGCTGGAGACGGAAAATGCACATACCCACAGCCAGCATATCAAAAAAACCCCAAAACCCACAAGCCAACCAACCCAACCCAGCCGTACTTGTGTTGGTGCTGGGGACGTGCTCACCTGTTGTGCAGTTGTGCAGCAGAGCGCTCTGGCGCTGCGTGGCACACCCCGCTGGAAACAAACAGCAAGTTATTCGCAATAAAAATGTTATGTTTTCCTGCCACAGGACGTGCTGTTATGTGGAATGTAGTATGTCTTGTCCTGGCTGTTACCTAAGAAACCCCAACCCATCGATCCATCTCATGTCAGGTCAAGCAGCCAGGCGTTAGGTTACTAGAGGTGTCACTGCAGCTCTGTCCACACCCTGGTCCCAAGCGGCACGGCTGTTGTTCCATCAAAGGCTTTTGAACAATTTCCCGTCAAAGGCTGTCAAGGGAAAAAGGTTTTATGTCAAAAGGAATTAAACATATGTGTGCAGTTATGTGTACAATCAGCTTTGATTTATATAAATGCTTTCTTCCCTTCCACCTTGCCCAAGTTTACTCTGGTCCAGTACAATGCTAGTATTTCTTGTAGGCAAAACCAAAGGAAAATAAGAGCTGTTAAGCCTAACATGAATGTTATCTGATTTGTGCAAACAAGCAATCATGTAGCTTTATAATACAATTGCTCAATTGTTTTACTAGTGTCTGGGGAAGCATTTTTGCCCTTCCTGTGTATTGAACTTTGCAAATGCATGATAAGCCAGCCACGAGAAGGTTAACATTCCCAGAGTCCCTTTGTTTCTGGGCTTTAGCAGCAGCACACCTTTTAAATGGAGGTTTATACGTTGGTGCAGTCTTGGAGAACATCGCCTAAAGGATTAAACTCAACTCAGAAATACAGCTTAGGTGTGTGTCTTGAGCACACGAGCCACAGATTTGGCCTGTGGGTCCCAACTAGAGAAAACCATCCTGAAATGTTTGTAGAAGGCCCATAGCGCCAGTTACTTTACTCTAGAGATCTGTTCCTGCTGGTTCACATGACGCAATAACACAGACAAAGCATCAGTAAAAGTAAACCATACTGTTAATTGACCCACTTTGTGTGGCTACCTACTCATCAGAGACTGCTTTTCCTTCTTGCCCTCGCTGTGCAAACAGTAAAGGACAATCTCATACTGAAAACTCTTCTGCTATAGAATACAGAAATGAAACCCAGTACATTGTTCACACAGAAGTTTGTTTTTATATTTCTGAAGAATCTTGTGCAAGCAAGCCTGGGACACACCCATGTGCTACAAAGTTTTCTTGTCTTATTAGAGGATGTAACAACACATTCAAATAATTTGTCTGTAACTTTATCCCAATTTTATACATCTTGCATTTGGTTACGATTTGCATAAGCTATGATAAGTTGTGCTTTCCTAATTATTCAAGGAATGTGCAAGTGCTTCTTAAAAACAAAAGATACGTGGATAGTGATTTAGTTAATGTCTGCTTTCATTTAAAAAGGTCAGGGAAAAGATAACTGACACCATCTTTGCAATTCATTGTGGTGCCACAACTTTTGGTCTGTAACAGTTAGGAGCAGATGATAGCTTCTTTTTCAGATCAGCCAGCTAACACAAGATGATCAAGCCCAAGAGACTGTCCAAAATTTGCCTAGGTATATTTGAAGTACCAGAGAGAGGTATACAAAGCAGTATGTAGAACGCTGCCGTGGCACTTCTGAACCACAAGAGAATTATTCCCCCCACCTGCTCAGTGGTATTCTTTAGGGCTGACCCAGTTTGGTTCCTTAATGTGGGATGCAACTAAATTCCTAACAGCTCATTCCAATGCTGATTGGCATCACCCTTGCAAACTGAACTGTTACTGCAGTGAGACAAATGGTAATCATCTAGCCTCAAGTACACTGTATGGATGTTTAGATGCAACAGGATAGCTTGAAGTCCACGTGAGCGGGTTTCTGCATGCCAGGCAGAGGCAGTGCAGGGTTTTAGTTACCCTTATCCTTCATTGGATTTGAATGCCAACAAAAAAAAAAAAAAAAAAAAAGAAAAAAAAAAAAAAAAAGAAAAGTTACCATGTTTTAAAGCCTACACTGTCTTCCATTAGTATATATAAAAAAATGCTATTTTTTACAATGATTTCTTAATGCCATGTTTCTGGAAATTATTTTTTAAAAAAAATTATAAAGTGCAACTGAATTAAATATAAATGCATTCAGTTAGGAAAAGCTGTAAGGTTTTCTTTTTCAAAAGGGATGCAGATGGTTTAGCTTCACATTTTAAAAGGCAATTTTGTCTATTCTGGGATTTTCTCCTTACTAAACATTCTGTTTGTATATGGTAGGATCTGTAAGTTTCATCTGATGGCTGTGAATTAAGAGAACACCTTTGTTCTGTTATGAGAAGAAGCGAACAGTTTATTTACTGCATTCCATTAGTTTCAGGATTAGATTTTTTAAAAAGCATAAATAGGTGGACACTTTCTGAGACCAAGGTGTCCAAAGAAGGATGTGCAAGTTTTGATCTATCTGCATTTTCCTTCCCTAGGACAAGAAGCTGCAAGTCCCTTGGCTAGCCATGTCCTTGTGAGAGGACTGATGCTCCGTTGTCTCTATGGAGTGTTTAGTGCTGTAATAAATGTGAGCCTCTTGCTCATGCACTGGTTTTTGACTAAACACCCTTCAAAGTTCGATACTGGAACAGATCCAGCATCCAAACAGTAACTTGTCATCTGACTTCCAAAATGAAACACTACTTCTGCAAAGTTACTTGCATATCTGAAGCACTGATAGAAAAGCTCAGTCCACCCTGATGTGCTGTAGGGTTGTGGTCTATGAACAGCTTGTGTAGACACAAGATACCCCTTACATAACAAACTCTTGGATCTTTCTGAATGAGACCAAGACTTGAACTAGCAAGACACTACCTGCTATTGACAGTTCACAATACTCCTACCCACCAACCCCCTCGTCTGCGTACAGCAGGAAAAGTTCCTTTCGCTTGAAATGTCACGTTCAGTTTTAAGTCAGAAGTAGCTTTTGGAAAGTTTGAGGTTAGCATGGGCATGATCAGGAGTAAACAGAAGCTACAGCTGCACAGCATTCTTGCTTCTCTAGTCATGTGTGTCTCGTACTACAAACAATATTGCCATTATAGAATGGCTAATTACTAGAACAGTTAAAGAGCTCTATGGAATAATAATATTCAAGTTATAAGTATTATAATTAGATTTCAATTACAATAGTTCAGGTTTATTAGAGACAGTTATAATTCCGTATTTTATTATACACAATAATAGAATAACAATTTTAATACTCGAGTAGTTAGGCAATGTTATGGTTAATTGTTTACAGAGGTAGAAAAGCTCGACTTAGATCTTATTCAGAAAACAAATTTCAATCACTCAGCCTCAAGAGATGTTACTTAAATGCAAGAGTCTCTAGTTAATGGTCGCTTTAAATAAAACAAACCGTACAGAATAAGTTTTTGTACTTGGTATAGCCCACTGAAAATCGCACTGTGCTCATTATAGCATTCCCCAAACCTCCTGTCTGGCTGCACAGGCCACTGCTCCGTGCCACGTATTTACTTCTGCCACTGAAGTTCCCCTTTATTGTGATAAGGGCAAAATTTTGTATCATGAGCAAAGCACTAATATCAAGTCAAGGCAATGAACATTCATTCATAAGAACTGTTAAATTCCCAAATCACACTCTCTGTAAAAGGAAGTGTTTAGTTTTAGACGTTACTTATGAAGGCTCATTTTGCCTTATACCCAACAGCTATTTTTTTTAAAATGGTCTTTTTTAGTTTCAGAGTTCCTGTTCTTGTTTTCAAAACAGTTCTGAAAGGCATAAGATCTGTCTCAATCCTTTTGTGCCTCGCTATGCTGATTTATTTCGTGAAACGACGAGTACTTTGTTGAACACAACCACTGAATTTCTTCATGCAGTACCAGAGACTGGGGGAAGACTCTAGGTTTTGTCCTCTTTGACAGAATTTTGACATGAACAACATGTTCCATCTTTTGGCTTTAGAGGAAAGGTTAGCTGTTGGAAATGCTGTTGCTTTGATACAAAGGTATACATCCACGTGTGAAATAACAGCAGCTACAAAGAAACTGTTGTGTAATACCACATTGTTAGCAAATACTGTAACAGTCTTCATCCCATAACTTCCTAAGTGCTCTTTTTTCCCCTCCAGGCACCCACTGGCCACCTTTTTCCACCTGTTTTTCCGAGTGAGTGCTATTATTACCTACTTGTTCTGTGACTGGTTCAGCAACAGCTTTGTTGCCTGTTTTGTCACTATTCTCCTCCTTCTATCCTTTGACTTTTGGTCAGTTAAGGTAAGATGATCCTGAATAGTAATTACTTTTGAAAGTATTTTGTGTGCTATTAAATAAAACAAGAAAGGAAGTGTATATATTGACAAAAGTGACAGACGTGATCTGCACCCGGGTCACAACAACTTCATGCAGCCCCTGGGGAAGAGCAGCTGGAAAAGTTGCTTGACAGCACTGAATATGTGTGAAGGCTGAATATGTGTGGAAGCAGTGTGGCCGAGAAGGCCACCAGCATCCTGGCTTGTGTCAGCACTAGTGTGGCCAGCAGCACTAGCACTAGATCATTGCCCTGTACTGGGCACTACCGAGCCCACACCTTGAATCCTGGGTTTAGTTTTGGGCCCCTCACTCCCAGAAGGACATCGAGGGGCTGGAGTGGGTCCAGAGAAGGGCAATGAAACTGGTAAAGGGTGTACAGCACAAGTCTTGTGAGGAGCAGTTGAGGGAACTGGGGTTGTTTAGCCTGGAAATAGGAGGCTCAGGGGAGAGCATCTGGCTCTCTACAACTCCCTGGCAGGTGGGAGCCCGGTGCTGGGTTAATGGTTGGACTCGATGATCTAAAAGGTCTCTTCCAACCAAAATGACTCTATGATCTGTTGATTTATTAAATGTCTAGCCCATTTTAATTAATAGTTACAAATGTTTTAGTCACTCTTTACCACAATGTTCTTTAAGGCTGATGGGAGTTACTGATATGGTGAGAAAATTGCCTCGCCATAGGTAGATTTGTTTGTATGCTTTCCCCCTTAAAAAAAAAGAAATAAAGTAGTAGTGGCTTTCAGTAGTGCATGCTGCAGGACGTCCTAAGCTGCAATACTGTGCCCAGACCCAGCCTGCAGAGGCTGCAGAAGGCTCCTGGGAGACTCAGCTACAGCACCAGTGCCCTGATCACTTCCAGGCAGGTGGGTCAGGCCAGCCCAGAATGCCAGGGGCTCCACATGTGGAACAAGGCTTGTGTCTTGTGGAAGTGAGGCACTGATGGATCTCCAGTATACTGAAACCTTCTAGTATTCATCCAGGTGCAGAAATATTTTCTGAATTTGTTTGTTTGGTTCCATTCCTTGCAGCTTACTTGCTTATAATTAGTCTTCCATTTTTTTTCAGGGTGTTTGCAGTTCTCCTCTCTTACAGAAGCAATTTGTTTACTGGGGGCTTCTCCAGCTAACTGACTTAGAAAAGATAAATCCTATCATTTTTACCTAAATAAATGTTGTTGTGCTAATTATCATATTAGAAGAGGAGAACAGGCCTCTAAATTTGTGGTTACTCATCCATCTTTAATGACCACTGTGCTCAGGCTGGCACAGCTTTTAAAACTAATTTTAGTATTTGATAAAAGAACATGATTTTCAGACATGCTTGTCTTTTTTAATATTAGTCTGACAAGTGAATCATGCAACTGATTAATGCAAATAATTGTTCCTGTCACTAGAATGTGACAGGAAGACTCTTGGTTGGTTTGCGTTGGTGGAACCAGATTGATGAAGATGGAAAAAGCCACTGGGTGTTTGAAGCAAAAAAGGTAAGCTTGCTCATAAAGGTACAAACACAATCCATAGGAACACTTGTAGAGCTGATAGCAAGTCAAATAAAGTAACAAATGAAACACCTTTGTAACAGTTACTGTTTATCCTGCTTCTAATTGCAAGTATTCAGAGGCAAACACACTGGACGCTCACATCCTGGAAACCTTCAGAACAAAGCTGGTCTTGCAGCTTTGTCATCCTACACGTCATCAGGGTAAATATTCATAGTGAGGTACTATCCTTATGAAATGTTTCTAGTAGTTCTATTTCATTTTTCTAGTGAGAACACCCTGTAAAACACATCTTCCCATAGTTAATCCTAACACAGAATCCAGGCTGGGCTGGGCACCCCCAACAGGGGAGCGTGCTGCCTGGAGGCCAAGGGAAACCCCCAGAGGGCACAGAGGCATGAGAGCATTTCAAACCTTCAGAGCTTCTTAGCTCTCTCAGGACAGTAAGCTGTCTTAGCACCTAAAAGCAATGGTGTCCACAAAATCGCCTCCTGACCTCAAAATGACTGCAAGATGAGCAAGCCTACTTCAAGTACAAAGCTGACTCATCAGTGCAACACAGGCCTTCCAAAAAATCTGCCAAATGGTAGCTTGATTAATGCAAAAATTATAGTAGCACAAGAAGGAACGTATAATCAGAGTGGATTGTATCTTTGTCATAGCTTATCCAAAGAAGTACTTTGCTATGGCAAGGACCTGTAATACATGGATGCAGTTCTCCTACTTTCCAGAGTCAGGCATTCCCCATTTCCTTTGCCAGTCCTCTAGCAGCTTTTTAGGGTAAACTTGCTTAGAAATACTCCAAGTCACTCACCAACAATAAACGGCAAACTCCTGGCATAACAGAGGTTCTTCCTTGAGCTCCTGTCTTCTGCTGAGCTTTGCTGGGAGAAAAGTAATGCTTATGCTTCCACTCCAAAGCTCACAACCCCCATCTGGGAGGGCTGCAGCCCGTTGTCATCTCGCTGATCAAGATAACTGGGTCTTTCAGGTGCAGAGTTCTCAGCTGTGTTGACTTTCTTCTTTCTCCTAAATAGTACTAATGCCATGTCACTGCTGGATAATTTGTCAGTAACTTGGGACACAGGTGATTAAAGCCTCTTGTTGGCTCAGGGCATCTGTCTTTTTCTGTGACCCTGAAGGCCTAGAACGTTATTCTCTGGACCTCTGCAACATCACTGGCTTAGAGGGTACATGAAAAAATTAAAGATACCTTGTAATTAGTGCATCATTCAGGGTTTTCTGAGGCAAACTAGAGAAACTTAACTGTATTTACAAGTTGGATGCCATTGTCTGCCTCATAATGAATGAATGGTTGGATGAGTTATTTTTACATGGAAGATTCAAATTACTGAAACTGAGCTAAAGGGCTTTTCACTTTGCAGAGTGTAAGAGTTTTCTGCCTTTGAAGCTTGTATTTCAGAAGCCAGCACTAGTGGTCATTGAGTGGTCTGAGGTTTGGAGTGAGATTTTGAATTCTGGTCTTCTGGGGAAGACCAAAACCTTCTGAACAATTCTCTTTGTTTTAAGTGTTAGGAGTTAACAGTGAACATTGCAGATAGGGACACATGAGTTGTGCTGACCTGAAGAAATCTGCAACCAGGGCCTTTTGCAGCCTGCTTTGTTTTTTATTTTTCTCTCCCTGAAGAACACAAACAGAGCATGAATAACCACGACTCTTTCCAAAGAGAGGGGCCAGCAGTCACTGTGGTGGCCAACACTAGTATTACAGAAGAGGCATTTTCAAAGCCACAGTTTTTCATTTATGGTATATCAGTGGACTTCATTAGCAAAATGCAAGTATTAGTTTACATAATAGAAAACTAAGCTCCACACAAGATTTAAACTAAGCTAAGATACTGCATGTTTTTAGGAAAATAGATGGAACTGGCCACTGTTACTAGAATACCTTTGTCTGAACTGGAACCAACTGATGAATCCTATAGGGGATCTTTAAAGTTTGTTTGTTTGTTTGTTTGCTTTCACTTAGAACAATTCATTGCAATTTCCACATTAGATACTCCAGCTTTCCCAGTAATGGACTGATTTCCTCCCCCATACTTTTGATTTGTGAACAGGGCACATGCCATGACTCTACACTGTATACAGACTGTGAACTACTCACACTACAGTGCTGCTTGAAATGCTGTTTCCTGTTCCACACTCCTAGTGTGAAAGTTTGAATCTAATGTCCAAATTAACTTAGCATTTCTGAAGTTTAAAAGCAATTGTCAGTGTAACAGAACTTTGACTCTAAAATACTAATGGGTAGCATTAGTGAGAGCTATCCTTGACAAAAGGAATAATGATCTCATTAAAATATGAACAAATGCCAGAACATTTTGAAAGGAAAATGCTGTCATATACAGTAGGGTAGCAGGCAGAAAAATTGGTCTTAGGTATTTCTCTTCTTATTCAGTCTTCCTTCTATTCATATAATAAGTGAAATTTAGGTAGAAAAGTAATTTTGTCCATTCTTTCTGCTCTGCTGATTTGTTATTTACTGTGGCTTTTGTCTTTGGGACTAGCAGTTTCAACAATTTTCCTTCTAGGTGCCTACAATATCTGCCTCAACTGAAGCTGAAGCTCGAATCTTTTGGCTTGGCCTCATTATCTGTCCAGTTATTTGGACAGTGTTTCTCTTCAGCACCTTGTTCTCCTTGAAGCTGAAATGGCTGGTAAGTCTGGGGTCCTGAAAGACCTATGGCCAACAGACAAAGCTGGCAGAGGGAAAACCCAGATCTGTTCTTTTTGCAAGTCTTTGAAGTAAATCTTCCAACAGAACAAACACTCCACTGACAGCTTTGAGAAATCATGAGGCGTTTTCTGCAGTCGAGCCCTGCACTCTGAAACACATTAGTAATTTTTAGCCCTACTTCTGTTAAGATATTGGATGTCAGCTCCTTCATCTCACTTGAGAACCTTAAGTGGCTGGCAACATTATGGACTTCTTTTTAACTGCAGCAACTTATTTTCCCCCAATTTATTTCAGTCAAAGGAAACTTTATAGGAGAGTACAAGAAATGAACCAGTGATGCTGGTTTTCAGATTTTCACATCTCCTTGGGACTTGGAACGTCACTTGCTCTTAAAAGTGAGGATTTTAGATCTTTGGTATAATTCCCTTTTTTGAAAGAACCACTATCCTAGTGCTTAAAACCCTTATAAATTGAGCTATGAGTATATATTTTATAATTACTTTATTTATAAGCCATCTGAACTACAAAAAAGAAAAAATCATTACACATTTTTCTAAACAGAAGAGGAAATTTACCCCATATATTGTATTATGTGAAGATATTTTTGTCTAGGAAATCTTCATGTTTTCCCTGTAAACGTTAAATGCCATAGAATGAATTTTGTCAGGCTCCTCGCCACACTGAGTACAACTTCTTCATTCAGTTTGAAAAGATAAAAAGTGTCGTGGGCTTGTGCAGCTACATAACCAGTAACAGCCAAGATTAGATTTTATTATTCAATGAAACAGGAAATTCAGCTATGGGTAGGTATCAATTGCAAATCATTAACTGCTTTTGAGTGCCCTGAAAAGCACCGTGGAACAAGCAATTGCTCAGATTAAACCAGCAGTTGGTTTTGAAAACCAGAGATTGTTTGCTAAACTAAGAGCTGGCTGGAGGAGCCCTCACTAGCACTGGGGGCAGGTTGCCCAGGTGCCTGTAAGAGGCACGACAGACAAATGAGAACACAGTGGTGTCCAGCAAACTCTTACTGAGGCTAAAAAAAAATGGTTTTGTAAGTCATTTCACTGGTCAGTCAGATGGGCTCTGCCTGCTAAGCCTGCAGTACCACAACAGGATCTAGTTTTTTTCACTGCCTGTTAGTGCTAGATACTCATACCTATTGGTGCTCCTTGAAGTCTGAGTTACAGGACCTTGCACTGAATAAGGCATTTGTCAGCAAAACAAGCCTGCAGGTTTGATATGCAGCTGGATGCAAAACTTTTAGATACAAACCAGGCTTAAAAAAATGGTTATGGAATCAGTTGAATAGGTTCTTTTTTGAATAAGTGCTTTTAGGAAAGTAATGAAGCCTTTCAAAATACAGAATAACAAAAAGTTTTCAGTGTTTTAATAATTTAGAGGCATTTGGTAGAAAGGAACTATTGTGTTTGACACGACTGGATCTCTTTGAAGGTCATTTATTACTGGCATATCCCCTCTTGTAGCATGTACGTGTGCCTAAGTAGTACATATAAAAATACACACGTGCGTTTGTGTGTACACACACACTCTACATGCCCAGTCTATATGTAGCAGTGTATTTGTCCCAGCTGAACTTTTACTTGTCCACAGGCTCTGGTGATAGCTGGGATCTCCCTTCAGACTGCTAATTTATATGGCTACATCCACTGCAAGTTAGGGGGACGAAAAAGCACCAGCAGAGTACCCTCCAGTTTTTTTGTCACGGCAGATGTTCCCAAGAGTAAGTACAGAATTGTCTGTCAGCTACAGCCCATGAGGTGTCAGGTACTGACCTGCCTCACACCGCTGCTGGTGGCTCTTCCCAGGTCTTAGTTCCTGGAATAACTCCTGGCAGGGCCACCTCGATTCTCTCGGCAGCCTCTCACAGAGCTCACTCAGGGGGGCTGCACCCCACATGACTTTGTTCTGTGTTCTGAGCCTGCTGTAGCTTCACAGCTGAGCTGCTTCCAAGCCCTGTGAAGAATGCCCTCTGTTAAATCCTCAGAGGAATGCCTCAGTGCCTCTGCTTAGGCCCAGCTGGGAGAGCCATCTTCAATCCTCCAGCTTTCACCAGGCTCTTCCCTGCTCTTTATAAGGTCTTCTAAAGCACCCTAGGTTATGCTAACACCCACACTTCCTGTGCTTGTTCTACAGGACAGGCAAGGAGCATTTCAGAAGACTGCATTGAAGAACATGGGAAGACAGGCACTAATCAGATAAGAAAGAACTGAAAGGATGAGCAGTAAAAGTGTTTATGGAAGTTGTTCTTCATATGAAGATACTTAAGTAAAGCTCTTCTAGAATTATTCCTGCATGAAATAAAGGTTTTATGTAATTTATGTTTTGAGTCTTTAGATTCTGAAAGTTCAGAGCCTTTGTTACTTTGAAAGCTCCATCAAAAAGCAGTTTGTACAGGCACGAAACCAGCACTCGGGGTTTATACAGAGCACATCGCTTCAAGGAACATCTGCCAACTAAAGCAAAACTGCTGGATTAACTTAGCCAGGAATTACAATGGAATCAAAAGATGATGCTCATTTGTTTAATTTCAGAACTACAAAAGCAAACCACTCTTCCTTCTGGTACACAGTACCGACTTCTCAAGGCTTTGATTCCTCAAAAGCAGAAATTAGAATCACAAAGGACCTCTAACTTATTACAGATGTTGAACCTCTATTTTTCAGTGTTTAGGCTTAAGGCCGAGGAAAAGAACAAACAAAAGCATCATGTTCACACAGTCCTTGTGTGAAGACACATTAATCTTATTCTGATACCTGTAATAAAATATTGTTCTTGTCCTATAATTATCTTGCCTAAACTCTGGTCATTTTTTTTTTCTTTTTAAATTATGTCAATTATAAAACAGGAGACAATACTACACTGAACTTTGCTTTAAATATAGATCTTTTCCACTGAAAGGAAAGATACTTAAGTGACATTTCTCAGTGAGAGAGAGAGAGTGCCCCAGCACCAGCAAAGCCTATTTTACATTCAGTTTTTGGAACAAAGTCTTGTAAACACTTGTCTTCAAACACCAACTTCATATTTGGGTTATTAGTGCCACGACACCGGATGCAGATTGTGCCTACCTGATGCAAAGACAGTTCTGGAGCCTCCTGGCAAGCTCTGAGACCACCTGTGAAGAATCTTGAACTACAGAAAAAAACCCTAAGGCAAGAACATTTATATTAAGAATTTATTGGCAACATACAAAAAGAATGCATTCCTTCTATTAAATCAAGGCATAAGTTACTTTTCTATAATAAAACATTAACTACATTTTTATTCTATTCTTCAATTAGATAATCTTTTCTTCTTGAAAATGGTGTTGATCACAGTATTCCTGAATTCCTGCAAAGAAAGGGGAAAAGTAACATCAACAGTTCTTCAGCTGCATGTTGGTCATTGCTGCATCACTGCCACCTTCTGGTCCAACTGTCACAAGCTGGGCCTCTCACTGTGAAAACGGCTTCAGGAATTTCCCAGCGGTTTCTATCTTTAACCTGCACGTGGCTGGCTCTTTAGGTAGTTTTTCTATGGTTTTTCTGTGCAATCACAATTAGAAGTGGAGGCTGTAATTAGCTGTACCACACCCGGGGTGGGGAGAGCACCCCTGAACACAGCCACTCGTACACCTCAGAACTTCCCTGTGAGAGCAAGCGCACACACGTCCTCTCTGAAAGTTAATGACTGAGGGCAAACACTGAAACCAGCTGTTGAACAGTTTTGTTAATGCTTTAAAAGCCTGTCACAACCGATGCCCAGAAATGAGCAGTGTTTGCATCTGCTACTTTCATGATTTCTGTGCACATCCACCCCTTTATCTTTGTGGCAGAGCAGGACGATTCCATTTAACACCTTTATACATCACAGATGTGCTCAGAACTGTGTGGATCCGTTTGCACAGTGACTTTCACACTTACTTTGAATGATACTCCTGTAAGATGATGTTGCTGGAGACTCAGGTGCTTCAGACAAGAAAGACTGGCCCTTGTCACAACTTTTTCCTTGAAGGATGAGGAAAAAGATGACAGGAAAGCAGTGGAAAAGATGAACTTTCCTTTATTTCCCCCTTTGTCCCACTACCAGTTATACCCTTCCAAAGAGCCACTGGCATCTATTCCTTCTAGGAAGTCCCTATGTCAGTAATAAATCTAACACTACAGCTCACAGTTTTACAAAGGAATACTATCAGTGGGGACCTTCCATCATGACGTTGGATGTACTGACCTGCTCCTCGATCCCGTTAAATCAAGTACTAACAGCTACCCACTAGTGGGCACGGAACCAAGCCTCCTCACCACCCACAAAGCAATCTGGGTGATGCCAGTAACAGTCAAGTTTCAGCACTAGTTTTAATGCTTAATGTCTACAAGATACTATTGCTAGTAGTGATTCTATTCAGTCTGCGTTTCCAGAGGACTACACCAAAGAGAACGATACCTCCCACTTCAAACAGGATTATACAGCTGAAGAGATGCATAATCCAATCTCCATCAAGATTAAGTTTCAGGCTAAGGAAATTACCCTGGCACTTTCCTCTTTTCACACTATGCTATGCTGCAGTTCCAGTAACTTTTGATTCAAAAATATGTTCTATCTGAAAATGGATATTTACCTGAGACAAAACAATTAACATTCTAATTTATCAGTGTCCAAGTTGGGGTTTTCCAGTAATAACATCAATACAGGAGGAAAAACTTGTTTTAAACATAGTGCAATACAGTGACTTTACCTATTTGAGGATCTAGAGGCACTTTTCCCAGGAGGGGAACATTTAAGTTCTGGCACATCTTCTCTGCACCTCCAGTAGTCGGGGGAAAGATCTGAGATTCATTCTGGGACAACAAAGAGTTAAAATATTGCAATCCTGAGAACAAGGCATTTTTGGAGCAAGATTTGTATATAAAAGTGTGTCAAGATAAAAAAAGCTGTAGGAGAGCTTACCTTGCACTTGGGACACACAAAGCCGCTCATGTTTTCCACAACACCTATGACTGGCAGTTTCACCTTCTGGCAGAAGTTGATCTCCTTCCGCACATCCTGAAGCGACACTTCCTACAAATATTAGGACACTGTTATTCTGACTGTCATGTTTTGATGCTGAAACCATTCAGTTATGTCCTTGGAGCTAAAAAGGTGCCCACATAGTGACTCTCACCCGATCAGCCCACGTTTGCAAAGGTCTGAACAGACTGGGGCCCAGCTCCAGGGAGAGTCAGGAGGTCTGCCCTGAACCAGGAAGCTCTGGGGAGTGCACTCCACAGACAGACACTCCTGACTCCCTGCAAGTGGTCCCAGCTTTTATCCCCAAGCAGACCCCTGACCTTTGTCAACTCAATGTGGGACCCCTGGGGCTCATTTCCCTTCTGGCTCTCCCTGCAGGGCCGGCCGCACCCTGGGGGGAAGCTCTAAGGCAAACTCACCCCCTCTGTATGAAGGGCTGTGGGAATCACCCATATGTCAACCTTAATTCGGGGGCTCAGGGTTCAGACCCCAGCATTTCATGAAGCTGCCTACTGGAGGCAACAGGCTGCTTCACGTGGTATAAAACAACACACAAAACCTAAACTTCTTACCAGCTTCTCAACATTAAGCCACTGGGAAGTTACACACTTGCAATGCTGTCAACTCTGATCCTGAAGAAGGAAGTGAGCTATGGCATTTCCCTCCACACAGACCACCACAGCCTTTGACTGAACTGCTCAGTGGTGTAGTGACCCACTCCAATCCCTACTCCAGAGACACCCACCTAGCTCATAAACCAGGCAGCTGGAGGCACAAACCAGCAAAGACAGCTCCCTTGGGTTCTGTACCATCGATTCTCCGAAGCTAAACAGACTCTAACCCAAGGACTGGCTTAGGCTGCCACAATGCTGCTGTCGTTGGAGATTCAAGTCCTCCTACCTGAGGGGTGGTGATGATAACAGCACCGTCCACGTGAGCGGCACTGAGATACTGCACGAGCGACAAGTGTTCGTCTGACGTGCCTGGGGGCGTGTCCACGATCAGGTAGTCCAGCTCACCCCAGTCCACGTCTCGAAGAAACTGTTTGATCAACCCTAGAAGAAAGGATAAGAATGTGGAAGAGAAAGAACACCTCCCTGTATTTTGGATTTTAGAGTCTACTGCAGCTTTTACAATCTAGGTGCGTAGATTCACCTGACCCACATCAACTTATGGGTGGAAACATTTATTTTGCCAAGGCTTTAGAAGTTAAAAAATACAGTATTTGACATGCTAACTTCATCCAATCAGTAAGTCCAGCTAAAGAAAATACATAACAACTCACTTATTTTTTTCCTACATATATACTATATTATGTTACTAATTAAGCCAATGATATGAAATCTTTCAAGTACATGAACGATTGTTGAAAACACTTGACATATACCATTTTTTTTTGGTCCTCTCCAGATGACAGCATCATCAGGACTACTAAGCAGGAACCCCACTGACATGACACCCAAGTTTTCTTCAACATACTAGAAAAGAAGAAAACTCAGTTGAGCATTCAGAACAGTAAAGAGCGAGCAGTGAAGTCAGCTCAAAACCCAGATCAGATAGAAAAAACAGTTGGGGAGAGCACAGAAGAGATTATGAAAATAAAGGCAAAGAACCTTACCTGTCTTTCTTATCAAAGGGCATTAAAAACTACAGGTTTTGTGCAACATTCACCAACTATATTCACAGACTGAGAAAAGATCCAAGCTGTCTTTTTAGCAGTGTACACGCTAAAGGTGATCTTTAGAAAACCAACAGAACTTTAAACAAAACCCTTCTGTGCATTTATCTAAATATTAATGAGGTTTTCCTCAGCTGTAAGATACTAGTTTAGAAACATAGTATTATCACAACTTAAAAAAGAAATTTAACACTGGTCTATATAACCTAAACTTATATATATTTCTATAGAATCTGGATATTTATATTACTAGAAAAAGAAAATAGAAGTACTCTCTGCTCCTCTCTCATTTGCTCTTCACCACAGAAGACAGTGTTAAATGCAAAGAATCCAAAACCACTTTCTGAAACACTTGCACCAACTTACTTACCACTGGAGACCACCCAGATCCACTCTGATGGACCTGAAAATGGAATTGATACATAAAGTTACATTACAAATAAATACAGATGTTACACAAAACACAAACATAAGTCACAAGTGGGTGAAGAGGTATCACACGTAAAGATACCATACTGCTTTACTAGAGCAGCTGAGTTAAAAACTGCAGAAGGGCCAGATCTCCATTAATAAATGAATAATACCTGTTATTTTTAACTCTTTTGCAAGAAATTTACCCATGACTTCATATGGTCCTGTAAAATATTTCAGGTTTGATAAAGAGCATGACATGAACATTATTTAAGTTTTAAGTAGTCATGAATATGTGGCCAATATACAGGAAATTTGGTTTGCTGAAGTGGTCATCCTGAAAGCAGATGACTCTTACAAAACAGATTTTGCTGAACTTCTCCATCTCGCCTCATCTCCCTCCCCACTGCCACACACACTTCCCAACAAAAAGTCCTTTCAGCTATTTACAGAAGTACTTGTAGAGACCTACAAAACCTTGAAATGATAATGCAAAACTGAGAAGCAAGCCTTTAAACAACACGTTTGAGCATTCGCTTACCTGTTCACCTTCTAGACCCATCATTTTAGGGATTGATGGCCCACAGATATCTATGTCCAACAGAGCGACCTGGAAAACACCCAACCAAACAGACCCGCCCACCCCACTGCAAACGAGTCCCCGGCGGACCGGCTCCGAGCTCTACGCGGCGCGGGGTAAACGCTCGGGCGGCACCGAAAGCG